CGATACTCCCTTTAGATAGCAAGGATCCAAAGTACGGGAAGTGGTCGCCCAATTGGGAAGGACCATACAAAATAAACAGTGTGTTGCTCAATGGAGCGTATCACTTGGAAGATTTAGATGACACCAAGCACGTGAGATTCATTAACGGCAATATTTGAAAAAATATGTTCCTTCTTTATGGGAATGTGAACAGATAAGAGTATAATCAAAATATGTTGAACGATTAAAGGATAACAAGGTTAGAGCGAAATACGTTCAAATGAAATCCTTTATTATCAAACGTTCATTACAAAAATGCAAAAATACAAATAACGGATGCTCTACAAAATACAATTAAAAGTAAGCTAATCTCCCTGTTGATCGCTGAGTAAGAAGGTGGACTAGCCTCACACCGCCTTCCTAAATGCATCGCTGCAATGGTGGGATCACCGAGTAAGAGGGTGGACTGGCCTCACCACCTTCCTAAATGCATCGCTGCAATGGCGAGCAAAGAGGCTGAGAAACACTCTCAGCAAGCAAGCTAAGGAGCACTCTCAGCAAGTAAGGTGGTCCGCAAGCATCCCAAAAATTGCCTTCTATCATCGACTCCTTGTAAAGGACAAAGAGACGATGGGAAGAACTTCAATGGTAAAAACTTTGCTGCTGGCCAGAAAATATTTCCTATACCTCCCACACCAAATGTGACATCAAGGCAAATAGTAAAATGGACAGACTAAACAGTCCATTTTCGGATCGGATTGATTGTCAGAATACCAAGCAATGGCAGCAAATTGGTTTCGAAGAAGAAAATAAAAATGAAGATGGAAGATGGAAAATGCGAAGCATTTATAGGGGGTGGAGATGAAGAGACAGAATATGAACAGCCACATTTCTGCCTAGTAAATGGAATTAAATAGCCCAAAATCTTGGGAAAAGTGGTGGAAATATCAAAAGCAAATGGGTAAGATTTTTAGCACAAAGCAGTTAAATGCTTGAAGAATTGACGACTAAAAAAAAGTCAAATAAATGCACAAGAAATTAATATATATGTTCATTAATGATGAACAAAGTTAAAAAGGGAAAATCAAATTACAAAAGAA